GAACTAAGACATGTTAGCCAGTTTGAACCCCAAAGACTGTGTGCTAGAAAATTATGTTGTGCAGTCTATACATATATCGGGAACATCGTTGTCCGGCCCGTCTTCCATGGCTTCATCCGGGGAGGGCCCGATGTCACATCGATGGTGATGGCGATGAAGCTGACGATCATGATGTCACTTATGATGATGTATGTCATGGCGATGCTCGCGATGGCGATGATCATGCGACCGTTGCCACTCGGGCTGTTGGAGGAGCCCCCTGCGGGGCCGCGAAGCGCGCGTGGGGGTTGATGACTACGACAAGCTTCTCCAGCTATCGAGATCGTTTCCTGGACTTGCACTTGCTGGACATGCTTCGCGGGAGAAAAGACCAACACTGCGCACAGCCGCGGCAAAACGTTCTTCAGCTTGCCATGACGAGATGTCCTATCCCTCTACAGATGTTGAACATGACATGATGACTGCGTCATTCGGCGGAGTAGCTTTCCGATCCGCTTAATGCTCATAATGCTCATAACTATGCTGCCCCAAAACCGGATTGGAAACTATTCCGCGCCAAACCCTATGAGTTCTCGAGCCGGGTGCGCCCGCGCGCGGAGTAGTTGGAGCCTTTCTACTCCGAACTATTCCGCGCTGATGCGCTATTGGAGAAGGCAGATTGAAAACGAAAACTTTCGTCACGGGGATGTGTATGTACATGCATCTTCCCATTCGCGTGTTTTCATTACCCGGCACCCCCCCCTCCCCCCCCCCCGAAATCGGACCCCCCGAATCCCGGGCCCCCGGGACCCTTCTGGACCCCTAGGACCCGTGACCCCGAGGACCCCCTGGACGCCTCTGCAGGAGGCCCCCCAGGGGATTCAGAGCTCCCGGAAGCCCTTGCTGAGCCCAGGCAACGGGCCCAAATCGGTCAGGAGAGCGGCCGACCGCCCCCCCCGAGGGCCCCAGAAGGCCCCAGACACCCACCAGACGCCCGAAGACAACCGAAAGAAGACCCCCAAGAGGCTTCCAAAACGTAGAAAAGCATAGCATTCATGTCCCATAGTTTTCGCACGATTTTGGAAATGCCCTGTTCTCCGGTTTTCTGGGCGTCCGACACTGGCTGGGTGGCTGGAATTTCGCACGACAACCATCCGAACAGGCTTCCAGGCAGTCCATGAGAGCACCAAGACGGCACAACACGTTTCCAATATGGCCTAAGAGAGCCGCGTGACGCCCCAAGATGGCCCCAAGACACCCTCCGAAGCATTCCAGATCGTGACCCGGCCGTTCAGGGAGACCGCGACTGGAGGCAGAGTGGCCCGAGGAAGCCCCCGGAAGACGCCCAGGATACCGCCTTAAGGGAAGCCTGACAATTTTCCGTGAGGCCCCCCAGAGGCTCTCCAAGGAGCCTTCACAAAAAGAGCTGAGAAGAATGGGGAAGAATTCGCAGGGTAGGGGAGAATGAGGTGACAAAGGCACGGAGGAAGTATAACGAATAACATTCTTAGAACGGCGCTGCCAGAAAAGGAGACAAGGAATTATCGCTACATTGTCTGCTTGACGTTCCTGCCAGTCCGCCAGCATGCCAAACTTCAAGGACCAAGGTGCATGGCGCGGAGCGCCAATGCAGTCTTGTGTGTATATATGTATATGTAGTGGCTTACGGCCCATCTTGGCACGGTGCTTGGGTTGTGGGTTGGAGTCTTCTTGGATGTTCGGTTGGATATCGTCGGAGGCCGGTCGGGGGCCTCTTGGAGGCTGTTCTGATGCCTCTTGGGGACCATTTAGGGGAGCTCTTTAGGGTTCCTTCTGGGCTTCTTTGAAGCATCTTTGGGCTGTTTAGAGGCCTCTTGGGGCTTCCTGGGGGCCTCTCGCACGTCGTCTCGCGCGCAGGCTGGAATCCTTCAAAAACCGTAGGCGTCGTAAGGATGTCAGCATCGAATGCCCTGGGAATGTATATCCAGCATTTGGCTGTGCAATCTCAATTGTCAGAATATTTGCGCGCGTTCTTTTTGAATTTTTAAGAAGAACACCAAAGGTTGTTCAACATGATCATCACACTCGACCAACCGGGCCTCTCGCGTCGCATGTCGGAATCATTCGAACGTTCTTGCGCAAGTGTTGGGGTGGGGCACGATCTTTGTCCAATCATACGATGCGGGCCACTCGCGCGCGTGGGCCACGTGCGCATGCCGCAATCTTTCCAAACCTTCATCACCGACGCGAGCACATCGTCATCGCCATCGGCGTGATTAGCTCCGGCGCCGTCATTGGCCATGCTGTCGTCATCGTCATCATCGTCACCATCATAGCATCGACCGCAGTCGACGTCGCCATGATGCCGTGCCCGCCCAAGTCACAGACTCGCACGGAAGTGCCCGCTGGACAGTGCCCAGCGGTCAGCACCGTCGCGGCCACGTCGGTCGCGCCAAACTAGGTGGTCGTTGTGCGCGCGAGCATGCATGGGCCAGCGCGGCCGCAGAGTTGCAGTAGCCAGCGCCAAGCACTCATCGCAATCGCCGCCCGATGGGATTTGCAAACCGAGTTGCGGGTGGGTAGGTGTGATGGTTGCGCGAGCAGTGGATTTGTCAACCCCGGGTTTTTTTTCTTAACCTTCATCTCGCTCCAGAGATTGCACCACATACGGTGCACAACATATATCGCACCACGTAGACTGTACTACATTGGGTTCTCTTTATATACTGCACACATTATCCGTAAGGGCTTCGCCCCCTGCCGCCGGCCCCCTCTCTCGGAGAATGGGCCATGGAAGAGCTAAGTCATGAGGCTTTGGCGCTGTCGTGCAGCAGTATCGGAACTTCATGCGAGGCCGATTCGCAATCGGCAAAACCAACTGATCACAAGAGGGGTTACCACACAGGGCGATTGGTAAGACGTGTATGGTTTACGAGCTTGGTTACCACACCTTGGGATTAAAGGGCCGAGGGAGTACTCGCAGTTTGGGTTACCACGCCTTGCGATGGATGTGCGTGAGGGGTGGCACCGAATTTCAGAAATGTGGCAAATCCCTGTGTTTTTGGACCCTGACCCCGCGGATCTGCGTGAGGGGTGGCACCGAATTTCAGAAATGTGGCAAATCCCCTGTGTTTTTGGACCCTGACCCCGCGGATCTGCGTGAGGGGTGGCACCGAATTTCAGAAATGTGGCAAATCCCATGTGTTTTTGGACCCTGACCCCGCGGATCTGCGTGAGGGGTGGCACCGAATTTCAGAAATGTGGCAAATCCCCTGTGTTTTTGGACCCTGACCCCGCGGATCTGCGTGAGGGGTGGCACCGAATTTCAGAAATGTGGCAAATCCCCTGTGTTTTTGGACCCTGACCCCGCGGATCTGCGTGAGGGGTGGCACCGAATTTCAGAAATGTGGCAAATCCCATGTGTTTTTGGACCCTGACCCCGCGGATCTGCGTGAGGGGTGGCACCGAATTTCAGAAATGTGGCAAATCCCATGTGTTTTTGGACCCTGACCCCGCGGATCTGCGTGAGGGGTGGCACCGAATTTCAGAAATGTGGCAAATCCCATGTGTTTTTGGACCCTGACCCCGCGGATCTGCGTGAGGGGTGGCACCGAATTTCAGAAATGTGGCAAATCCCATGTGTTTTTGGACCCTGACCCCGCGGATCTGCGTGAGGGGTGTCGATTTCGAGCCCCCCCAGCAATTCAGACAACGCGCCCAGGGGGTGCTAAAAAATCCTGTTTGGGCCTCCCCCCCCCTCGCGCGGTCAATCAACTAGTTACAGTAACCAGCAAGAAGCAGAACTGTAACACTGGAAACTACAAGCTACAACTGGTACTGGAAACTGCGAACCCGTGCCTCGCAGCCTGGTGGCCCCACAAGGGGGCCGGCGGATATTTCTAGAGGTCAGCGCTGGGGGCCTACGCTGGCTAACATGTACTAGTGGACCCACGAGGAGCTGGATCCACGGACCATTGGAAGTGCACGCCAGTGCTGTGATTACACGGGCGAATGGTGGTGGTTGCCGGGGAAGCGTGGGATTTGTTTGATGCGTCGTCCGTCGTTTTCGTCGTCGTATCGTGTCGTCCCCCTGCATTCTGCCATTGGGCACCCGTTCGCTGGTGAAGTGTTTGAACAGGCGCGTGTGTTCAAAAAGCGGTGGGGGGGGCGGCGGGGGGGGGGGTAGGCGGCGCCACCTATTACTTGGGAGTTTGAGTGTCGGCTGCTTAACAACACGATAGCAACCCCCCCCCCGCGATTTCACGGCACATGACCTGCACGCTGGTTGCCTTGGACGACCCCCCCCCCCATCCCCGTTTTGGACACACCACCTAACAACCTCACCTTCGCCAGGGCAAACAGTCTCACACATGCGATGCGTGCCCAGCCCGTGTTGAACACAACGGACACACAAACACACACACAACGGACACACAAACACACACACACACGCACACACACACACACACACGCAATCGTTCCTCGGAGGCTGGGCCTCAAAAAAGCATGCGCGTGCCTGGGACGCAACAGCATGAATGTGTACTCCGGCGGTTGGTTGAGTTGCTTGGTGGTGTTGGGAAACTAATCCCCCAGCTTGTAGCGCGAGTGCGTTGAAGACCCGTTCCCGTGAGCCCACCTCATCCCGAAAACCTTGGCGCCGCGAGGCCGCGAGGCCACCGACCGCGCCTCCTGGACGCGCTTTCCCCGCCTCCGCCTCCAGCGGTTGTTGGGTTCGATTCGGATATTTGGAACGACGGAGAATTACAAGGCGGCTGTTTCGCTCGAGGGGAGGAGGCGTCTTCGCGAAGTCGGTCTTGGAAGCCCCAGGGGGCTTAAGAATCAGCGCGGGTTGCGCCAAGGTCCCAGGATGTCCCAAACAGGCCACATCATGCGCCCAAGAGGCCCCGGGATGTCTCTAAAAGGGGCTGCAGGATGTTCCCCGAAGGCCTTCTGCAAACAGTTCGGTTCAAACCACGTCTTCATGCCTCAAGGCTAGTGGGCCTGTGCTGGGACCGCCTTGCCTGTGCGAGTCCTGAAACTATATGCTGGCCCCGATGGCTTCATCTGATCATGTGCAAGGAGGGGCGGCGTGCTGTGGCAAATCGTGGCGTTGTTGCAATCGGGCGAGGTTCGAAAATGGCATCGACCGCTACACGTTGAGATTCGTAGACCCAATGCAGGAGGCGGGGTTCGCGCGCAACCACAAGGCGCTGCTAAGCCAATATGTGGGACTGACGATGGGCGTCTTTGCAGCCGGAAGCCTTCTGACGAGCTTGACTGGCCACAGGTTCTGGGACAACTCCCAGTACGCCACGACAGAGGCCCAGGAGCTCAGCAGGTGGCAGCTGATCATCCAGACGGTCACGACCTCACTTACATCCAGCTGCGACCAGCAAACCCCGCCACCGTGCCAGCGCAGCAGCGCAGCAGGAAGGAGGTTCACCTTCAAACCCGATCCAGTTCAGACAGGACGCTGAACTGGAACGGGTCTTGAACATGGCCTCGTTACCCAGAGCCTCTCTGACGCTTCTGTTGTCTAGGGCTTATTGAGTGCCTCTAGGGGGCCTCTTGGGGGACCTCTGGGAGGGTCGGTCGAGCGCCTCTTGGGGGCCTCTTTGGGGACTCTGGGAGGCTATCGTGGAGGGAACGGCTCCCAAGGCCAGTTCGAGTTCGGCCTCCTGGAGGCCTCTTGATGGCATCTTCGGGCGCCTTGTGGCCCTGTTGGGCCGTGTCGGGGCCCTCTTGGGATCCTTGTCGGCAGGCTCGTGGAATGCAGCAACACACTTGCTGCCCATGGTATTTGCCCCTCGGGGGGGCCTTCTTGGAAGCCTCTTGGAGCCTTCTTGGGGCGTATCGGGGGCCTTCTTGGGGGGTATCGGGGGCCTCTTGGGCCGGTCTTGAGGCCGTCGTCAGACCCTCTGGTGCTGTCCTGGGGCTCGTTGGGCAGTCTTTGGACTGACCTGGGCCGTCCTGCAGCCTTCTCTGGGCGGTCTCGCGTTCTCCAGGCCAGGGAGGGCGTCAGGGAGTCAAACGAGCGGGGCGTTGAAGAAGCCTAAAGGACGGCAGGCGAGCGTTCTCACTCACCACACCGTGCCCAGTGCATGGTGTCAGATGTCTGGCCTTCGGTTCTGCGATATTGATGGCCAAGTACAACATTGTGGGCACCCTGGGGTTGGAGGTAGCTGTTGTGGCTGCGGTCATCCCCCTCATGATCGTGATGGTGATTAACTCGAAATACTACGTCGCGCGAGTGTTCGGCTACGCCGACCCAGAGGCCATATGGGGCCTCAATCTGGGCGGCACCGACGGCAGCGTCGTGCTGTACATCGACTGCGTTGTCACCGCTCTGCACCTGCTGATGCCGATCCGCTGGGTGGTCCTCGTTCCCATGGAGGTGGCAGTGCTCGGCCTAAACGGTGTTTTGGTGATTTCGCTGACCGTTTTCGGTTTGTCGTTTTGTGCTAGTTTTGCAGCAACGGCGGAACGAAGACAAAAGGAGGGAACACTACAACACAAGTAAAACGACAAGCACTGTTTAGGTCGAGCCTTGGCAGGTGGTCGCTTGTCTAGCCTACATTGTGCCCGCGCTGCTGCTCGGGAGCCCGACCATGAACGCCGTGCCCTTAGACGAAGCTAAATGCGCTGGGGCGGTAGTTTCTAGGCCAGAGGATCGCGCCGCATCGCCGACGCATCGGCGACGCGGCTGGATGTGGAGCCCGATATTCGCCGCGGCGGCGTCGCCGATGTTCTCCGCGCCGGCGTCGCCGATGAATCGGCTACGTCGCTACTGCATCCGCGATGCATCAGCGATGCGGCGCACCCCATCTAGTCGGACCCCATCCAGGAGGTTTTTATTGTTTGTGTTCCGGCATGGTTGTTCCCGTTTGGGGGACAATGTTTGTTCCTTGTTTGGGGATTCTCATTTGCGCAGTTTTCGGTTTGGTTCCGTGTTGTGTTGCCCGCTGTTGTTTGTCCTGGGTTGCTTTTTTACCTCACAGCGAAGACTGATAGGTTTCTAGTGGGCTCAAAAGAGAGCATCTTGACTCCCCAGGGGGGTCTGGGCGGGTGCCGGGAGAAGCCGGGGAACCCGGGAACTCCCCAGGACTCATATAGATTCTTATAGTTTCCTATGGATTCCTATCCGTAAGGGCTTCGCCCCCTGCCGCCGGCCCCCTCTCTCGGAGAATGGGCTATGGAAGAGCTAAGTCATGAGGCCTTGGCACTGTCGTGAAGCAGTATCGAAATTTCATGCGAAGCCGATTCGCAATCAGCAAAACCAACTGATCACAAGAGGGGTTACCACACCTGGCGATTGGTAAGACGTGTATGGTTTACGGGCTTGGTTACCACACCTTGCGATTAAAGGGCCGAGGGAGTTCTCGCAGTTTGGGTTACCACGCCTTGCGATGGATGTGCGTGAAGGGTGGCACCGAATTTCAGAAATGTGCCAAATCCCCTGTGTTTTTGGACCCTGACCCCGCGGATCTGCGTGAGGGGTGGCGCCGAATTTCAGAAATGTGGCAAATCCCTTTGTTTTTGGACCCTGACCCCGCGGATCTGCGTGAGGGGTGGCACCGAATTTCAGAAATGTGGCAAATCCCCTGTGTTTTTGGACCCTGACCCCGCGGATCTGCGTGAGGGGTGGCACCGAATTTCAGAAATGTGGCAAATCCCCCTGTGTTTTTGGACCCTGACCCCGCGGATCTGCGTGAGGGGTGGCACCGAATTTCAGAAATGTGGCAAATCCCATGTGTTTTTGGACCCTGACCCCGCGGATCTGCGTGAGGGGTGGCACCGAATTTCAGAAATGTGGCAAATCCCTGTGTTTTTGGACCCTGACCCCGCGGATCTGCGTGAGGGGTGGCACCGAATTTCAGAAATGTGGCAAATCCCTTGTGTTTTTGGACCCTGACCCCGCGGATCTGCGTGAGGGGTGGCACCGAATTTCAGAAATGTGGCAAATCCCCTGTGTTTTTGGACCCTGACCCCGCGGATCTGCGTGAGGGGTGTCGATTTCGAGCCCCCCCAGCAATTCAGACAACGCGCCCAGGAGACGCTAAAAATCTTGTTTGGGCCTCCCCCCCCTCGCGCGGTCAATCAACTAGTTACAGTAACCAGCAAGAAGCAGAACTGTAACACTGGAAACTACAAGCTACAACTGGTACAGGAAACTGCGAACCCGCGCCTACAGCCTACAGCCTGGTGGCCCCACAAGGGGGTTGGCGGATTCTTCGTGTTCCCAGAACAGCATTCCCAGGCCACATTTTGAATGCCCGGAGCTAACCGTATGCCACTTCGTGTTCTTCGTCTTCCCAGAACGCCATTCCCAGGCCACATTTTGAATGCCCGGGGCCAACTGTAGGCCACTTTGTGTTCTTCGTCTTCCCAGAACACCATTCCCAGGCCACATTTTGATTGCCCGGAGCCAACAGTAGGCCACTTCGTGTTCTTCGTGTTCCCAGAACACCATTCCTGTACCATATTTTGAATGCCCCGAGCCAGCTGTGGGCCACTTCGTGATCTTCGTGTTCCCAGAACACCAGTCCTGTGCTATATTTTGAATGCCCGAGCTGAGGCAGGCTGAGGCCGAGGCAGGCTGAGGCCGAGGCAGGCTGAGGCTGAGGCTGAGGCAGGCTGAGGCTGAGGCAGGCTGAGGCCGAGGCAGGCTGAGGCTGAGGCTGAGGCAGGCTGAGGCTGAGGCAGGCTGAGAGTGAGGCTGAGGCAGGCTGAGGCTGAGGCTGAAGCAAGCCGAGGCAGGCTGAGGCTGAGGCTGAAGCTGAGGCAGGCTGAGGCTGAGGCTGAGGCTGAGGCTGAGGCTGAGGCAAGCTGCGGCTGAGACAGGCTGAGGCTGAGGCTGATGCAGGCTGAGGCTGAGGCAGGCTGGGGCTGAGGCTGAGGCAGGCTGAGGCTGAGGCTGAGGCTGAGGCTGAGGCTGAGGCCGAGGCAGGCTGAGGCTGAGGCCGAGGCAAACCGAGGCAAGCTGAGGCTGAGGCTGAGGCTGATGCTGACGCAGGCTGAGGCTGAGACAGGCTGAGGCTGAGGCTGAGGCAGGCTGATGCTGAGGGAGGCAGGCTCAGGCTGAGGCTGAGGCAGGCTGAGGCTGAGGCTGAGGCTGATGCTGACGCAGGCTGAGGCTGAGACAGGCTGAGGCTGAGGCAGGCTGAGGCTGAGGCTGAGGCTGAGGCTGAGGCCGAGGCAGGCCCAAGCCGAGACAGGCTGAGGCTGAGACTGAGGCTGAGGTTGAGGAGGAGGCCGAGGCATGCCGAAGCTGAGACAAGGTGAGGCTGAATGGGGGGATGGGGGGGGGAAGGGGGGGAGGAGGAGGAGGAGGAGGAGGAGGAGGAGGAGGAGGAGGAGGAGGAGGGGAGGCTGAGGCAGGCTGAGGCCGAGGCAGGCTGAGGCCGAGGCAGGCTGAGGCAGAGGCTGGGGCAAGGCAGGCAGGCTGAGGCAGGCTGAGGCTGAGGCTGAGGCTGAGGCGCAGGCTGAGGCCGAGGCAGGCTGAGGCTGAGGCTGAGGCAGGCTGAGGCTGAGGCCGAGGCAGGCTGAGGCTGAGGCTGAGGCAAGCCGAGTCAGGCTGAGGCTGAGGCTGAAACTGAGGCAGGCTGAGGCATCTGTAGAACTCCATAAACTTTCTTAGGAATCCTTAGGAATCCTTAGGAATCCGTAGGCATCCTTAGGAACCTGTAGGCAGAGTTAAGCATCCTCAGGAATCCTTAGGATTCCCTAGGATTCCTTAGGAATCCCTAGGAATCCCTAGGAATCCCTAGGAATCAGGATTCCTAAGGTTTCCTAACAGTTCCTATGGATTCCGAAGGATGCCTAAGGATGCCCTAGGAATCCCTAGGAATCCGTAGGATTCCATTGGATCCCAAGGCCGTTGCCACTGCGACTGTCACTGCGAATGCGACTGCGACTGCGAGAACAGCAGAATTCTACAACTGGATTCTCACTTGAATCTTAAGGGGAATGCTTCCAGATATGCTTATACACATCGCTGTTAGGTTGCTTTGCCGGGATAATTTGTTGGTTGTCCGTTCTGCGTGGCCAAAAGCCCAAGGTTGGCAACGGGAAAGCAATCACGCCCCCAGCGCGATCTAACCTCAATCAAGGTCGTGCCCCACAACGTCATCGGGCTCCTGGCGCTCACTGTGATGGCGGCCGTCGGGAAGCGGGCCTTCGAGAGGCAGGAGCGCGGGCTGTTCGCTGGCCTCCTGGTGGAGAAGCAGAAGCGCTTCCAGGCCGAGTTTCAGCTGTCCGAGAGGTCGCGCCAGGCTCTTGCGGCCAATTGCGAGCCTTACAGCCAAGATGCTGACATAGGGGCCACGTTCGGCGCCTCCAGAAAAGCTGGGCCAGGGTTTCTTAACACACTTGCCGGAAATCGGGCCCAGCTTCTTGAGCACAGTCGCCTCTCCAGCGTCAACACCAGAAGTCGGCCCAGGCTTGTCTGAAGAAACGTCGGGAAGCTGGCCCTGATTTCTTGAATGATAGTTTTCTTGATCATATCTAAAGGCTGCCGCCTCTGCCGCCGACCCCTATCGAGCGACCGGTTGGAATCGTGGGGGTTGGAGGTAACTCAGGTTAGCGGTCGGTCGATTGGGCGTGGTTGAAACGATTACCAAGAGCAGCGATGGCCCCATCCCCGAAGGGGGAGAATGGGGTTGAACAAGGAATCGCGGTAGACCATTGGCGTCGGAGCCATCATCGTTATTTTGGTTCTTGAGGTGCCGCCTGTGAGGCGGTCTGAGACTTTCTTGCACTTGTGCGCTTGGTGATGCCCCGCGAGAGATAGTTCCGTCTTTTTCGCTTCGACATCCTCGCCGTTGTCCTGAGGCGGTCCCGCCGCGTTGGCTTGAGTAATTCTCGCAGTTGTGGGCTTGAGGCACGCGAGTGGTCTACCCAGCTTCTCCTTCCGCACTCTCGCTTCTCAGGGCCCATGGATGGCCTGACCTGAGCTGGTCCAGTTAGGTTCGCTTCACACTTCGTCACAACTCTGGGCTCGGAATCGACCTGGCCTGAGCTCGTCCAGCCATCTTCGTCCGATGCGTCCTCGTTATCCTGGGGTAGTCGATGCTCTTGCCTCACTGTATCCGATCTCGTTCCTCGCTGTTCTGGGTTTGCAGCTGCCGTGGGCTGTTCGTTT